GACTTCAAGCATTCAAAGCATCTCATATATTTTCTGAATCATTTTACAACAACCCTGCACTGCCTGATCCAGCCTAATCTTGGAAGCTAAGCAGGGCTGGGCCTAGTTGTAACATGGATGACTGACTTAAATGTTGTGAACTGCCCAGAAAGCTTTGCCTACTGGCAGTAGAGAAATACAACGACAACAACTTTAAAAGGGCATGCACTGGCAAAGTGGCACCAAACAAGTGAGTGAAACACTTAAGACGAAAGTGAAGAGAGCACTTTGTTCTGCCATTTCTTAAATGAACACTCACAACTTCCAAGACCAGTAAGAAATTTCACAGCAATTTGATTTGCTACATCAAAACACCTGACCAGCTCAGTACTGAAGATGCAATTAGCAATCATATGTTTCACAGACACAAATGCATAGAATAGTTAGAGGTGTGGAGAATATTAGCAGTCCTGGCAAAAATAGAATGCATTTTAACACTAGCTTCCATCACCTTCCTGACTGTTTTTTAGGAGGTCAATCTCCTTTGAAAAGGCCCTTGAGTCCTATAATGGGCAGGGACTTCATGGTTTCAAAGCACACTGCCCAGCCAATACTTCATGCCTTGGCCCGCATCACAAGTGCCTCTTTCCTCTGAAAGCCAGACCAGTTGGCCTCCTGCCTGCTGCGTGGCCATTTGAACTACAGGAGGTGGCTGGAGACAGAGGACAAAAACCAAAGGAATGCCTTATCAATCTTTCTGATGGAGAGGCGAATTAGAATGGGGCCTCATCTACCCTAGCAAGCCCCCTTCAAGGAAGACCACCATGCTGTGCTAGGGGGCCTTGTGTTCTATTTTACAGAGGACAGTCCTCTCTTGTACGGGCTGTACAGTCCCAGGTGCAGGGCCAGCCCTGCCAGGAGGCAGAGCGAGCAGCTGCCTCAGGCGGATGGCCTTTGGGGCTTGTGAAAGGGCAGAAAATGGGTAGTTCAGTGTAATGCTGTATTTTACTGCCAAAGAGGGACACGGGCCTTGTGAGATTTTTTTGCCTCAAGTGCCAAACTTGGGTGTGATCCACCTTGACCTGAAGGCAGTGCCGGGGCTGCCCCGTCTCGGAGAGCAGAACAGCTTGAGACGGCCCGCCATGGTCAGTTAAAGCTAAGCAGCAGAGAGAAAGGCGAACAGGGGCCTTGAAGCTGCTCATCAAGAGACAGTGCTTGGCCAGAAGACCGAGCCCTTGTATATGTCACCTGGTCACAATCTTCCTCACTGTGATTGCATGTATACTATTTATATGTAAATTATGGTAATTTTTTCTGTGTGTGTATTTCCATGTGTAAATTAACACTTGTAAACTTCATGCCAAAGTAGGCTCTCTCGTTCATGATGCGCTCTCTCTCTCTCTCTGCACTGCATCAGTGGCTGGCCCTAAATCATGCTCACCTTGCCACCAGGTCCTGGTACAACTCATACTTTTTCTTCCTCCTCACTTTCCGGATTGGATACATCTTTCCAGCCACGTGAGATTCTGTGACGAGGCTGGGGGCAGGATCGGAGGGAAAGAGAGGAAGGAGCCTCTAGCCGAACCCTCTCGGGTATCATGCAAAGCAAGGGAACAGATGGGCTTGGCTGTTCCTCACTTGCCCCATGAGTGGGCTAGGGAGTGGACAAAAGGATCTAGTGAGATCGTATGAACTGTGGGGGGCTTTGGAACACAGGATTGGGGGCATGACCTCAAGAAAATCAACAAGGCATGAAAAATGCAGTTGTCAGAAACCAACCCCCAGCCATTCCCGTTCTCCTCCCTGCACTGTTGACACTTGCATTGTTTGATGCAAAATGCAGAAAATGGCCAATTCTTCTGAACAAAACAATCCACCATGGCTTGCTTAAACCATGGCGATTGTGCGAAGTGGCCATTTGCTGCTGCTGCTTTTCTTCGTCCTGGGACTAAACGTTTGGGGCAGGCTTTGGTCAAAGACTTTTAAGCAGGACAGTGGTTCTACTCACTGCAATCCCATTTTGTGAGGTTACTCCTTAGATAGACAAAAATGCCCAAAAAAGCAGCTGCAAGGGCAACACCCACCTGGGCACCAGGGAAATGATGCCCCATCTTCAGCCAGCAATGGTGGTAATGCTAAAGATTCCTGGGGGGAAATGTGCTGCTCCTTGACAGCCAGCAGCTAAAAACAGCTTCTTCAAACATTCGTAAGGGTTTCACAAAAAGTCCATTAACCTACACAAACTACCAAGATTTTCCACATGAACTTTCCTTCTGAATGTACAGCTTCCCTGGACCCTAACCAGCCTCTTGACAAAAAATCCATCATTTGTCCACCGACCTCGACCAATTCTCTGCATTTGACTGGACATCACAAAAACAGCAACACCGTAATAGAATCAACTTTCAGTGGGCTATCCCACCACTGAATGCTCCCCATTTAAAAGATAACATCTACCTGCAAGGAAACCAGCACATAAGGGAGATGCTAGTCCAATTCCCATCTTGTTGTACTAGCTTTCTACTTTCAGGATATATAGATATATTTTAAATGCAGGGGTGCATTCAAAAATGCTATCCTTTCATCAACAGTATGATGCCATGTCATCTGTGCTACTATTTCGGGGCTCTTTCCACCTCATTCTCACCTTATTCTGCAGCATTTGCAGAACCGAGCCTCAATTCAATACACATGAATTCTATAAAGCACAAATAGCATATGTAACACATACCAAAGTCTGCTCACTCACCACATTGTTTTACAAATCCCAAGATATACAGTAAGGCAGGAACCCTAAATGTGACGCTCTCATGGGCCTCCAACAGCAGCTATGAAGCTCTCGATTCCCTGCCCTCTTCAAAAATGTATTTTTAATAAAAACCTTGAAAAACAGTGGGGTACCAAGTTCTCCTTCCAGCTCCTGGAGATCAGCTGTTCAGTAGGCAAGCATAAAGAAAAATTCACCTCCCAGTCCTCTCCAATTTCTCTTTCCACACCCCCTTTCCTCCCTATTTCTTGAATTTAACGAGCCTTCTTCTTTCTCTGCTCATCCACCTGCAGCCTCGCTCTCTCCTCTACCCCTTTGCCTCGCGATCTTCCCCTCCCACCCAGTCTCCAGCATCACTATTTAACTCAGCCCTGAGAGTAGCCATTATATGCCAAGCTGCACCCGCCATGGGTCATTCTGCAGACAGTGCCTCTCCAATGGCCAGGCTGCCCACAGCTCCAAAGGACTGGGGTTCCCTTCAGCAGGGCATATGGATCTGGCTCAACCACGTCGCACCACAACAGCCCACAAGGTGACACTCCTCGCGGGATCCAAGGCCTGAGAGAATGCCAGAGACAATATGAAACATCCCTTTCCTCTTTGGCAGCTACGTAGGATCACTGTTTGCACAAGCTTTTGTGCCCCTGCTCATTCCCCTGCTGCCACTCACGGAGCTGTCCATCTAAAGCAGATTTTTTTTTAAGGAAAAAAAGTGTTTAATAAGAAATCAAGGTAACCACTCCCTGCCCATCCATCAGGGTAGGTGAAATGGACCAAGCTAGTTCACTGGAGCAGTGTGTGTGTGTGTGTGTGTGTGTGTGTGTGTGTGTG